AACCCATGAACTTGTCTCAGTGAGTCTAGTTTGCTAGTTCAGACTATGACATGCTACTAGATGAAATCCTTTAGTGAATACTTCAATACATTCTATGAGTACTTATATAGCTGGGTGAAATTTCAAAACTAACCTTTAAATTTGGATTATAAAATTCAGACGCACTTAATACATAATAAATTCATCTTTGGAGCACGTCAAAACTAGATATTCAAAAACTCCAAACTTTGGAATCCGTATAGTAAATTACGGAGGTTAAACTTCGGACGGACACGCCTAATATATCACACCCATGACCAACCTCAAAATCACACAGTTTAAAACTACTACAATTCCAAAGTCTAAATTTTCTACGGAGATTAGAATCCAGACTTTTCTGTTTAAGTCAACTTGCGTCTTTCCTTCTTCCTTCCTATTTTCATTTTACAATAGAACAAAAATAGAGAGAAAAAAAAGCTTATCCTCATTTGCGTTTATAGAGCTTGTTGTCTTCATTTTCAAGCATTCTCATAGTTTCTATCCATTGCATTGAAGGTTATCACCTCTCTACTCCTCTGCATTGCACGTATCTGGAGTTCTACTTTATTGCTTTGGTAATTTGCTCATTCCCTTTACCTTTTTTATTTCACATGCATACATTACCTAAATAATTTATAAGTATGATACTTTAGGCTTAAATGCAATATATATGTCATTTGTATTTGTCATGAATTGCATTTCTTTGAGTTGGAACATCTAGGCCACAAACTTAACCTAAGGCGGAGCTTCCCGAGGTGGAAGTGTAAGTGTTTAAGATCCCAGAGGTCAATGTATATCCAGGAGGTCATACACGGTTCAAATCCCTCGAAGAGGATTTTGAGAGACTGTGTTAGTTGTGAGCGTCATAGAGGAATAAGGCGACAATATCGAGACTAACATGCACAAATTGTTTTCCATGATTCTGCTTAGGGGATTAGAACATTGTCATACATGTATAAAGAGTTGAATGCTATGACTAAGATTAAGAAAAAATAATTTGCAAGATATATGACTCTGCTTCAAGTAACATTTTCACAGTGATTTCTGCAATCCTCTCTATTTCTGATTCTACAACAGAACAACTAACATGCGATCCATTTAATCATATCATAACATAATTTTAATGTTTTACAATGACAACTATAACAAAGTTCAGTAAGTTTTCTAATAATTATCATCCACTCTTCAAGTGCATTGGATAT